TGACAATGCAGGAGTTCCTCGAACTGCAGACGAAGCGACGTCTTCAGAGCCACGAGACCATCGTCGAGTACATGTACTCAAAGAACGCCATTCCGAACAAGGCGCCGTACCGTTTAGCAGAGGAAGAACGTATTTCCCTCATTCTCAGCGGCATCGAGGACGACACATGGGCCAACCCACTCGCAGCGCAGCTGTGTGGCACAGTAACCGAACTCATTGACAGAGCGGCCTTGCTCGACGCGAGGCGTCGCACGACCGTGTGTGCCGAGAACAACAAGAAACCGTCATCGTCTATAGCGAGCCGTGGTCAGGGTTCAAACCAGCGGGTGCCAGCCAGCAGCTCTGCCAACTTGCCGAAGGCCAACCCGCGCAGCGATTTCTCGGGAGCTCCACACCCGCGTCCCATCTCTGCTCGTTCGTGCTTCAACTGTGGTGACATCGGTCACCTGTCCCGTGATTGTAGAAAGCCGAAAACGCCAGCAACGATCAGAGCGGACGAGAAACGAGCGAAGAGGAGACAATAGCAGCCACGAAACAGGGACTACGTCACCTAGGCAAGCGAACTGTTTTTTTTTTGCATTCGACGGGCGGCACATTACCAATAGTGTCCGGTACTGCTAACGACCGACCCGTCCGCGTGTGCATTGACAGTGGCGCCAACTTATCCATCATGAGTGCCAATGCCTTGACGGACGACATTCCCACGCACGCATGGGTATCGCGCGAGAAAATTGAAGTTCTCAACCGCAGCATATGCCCAACTCTCGCTGCAACGCTTGATGTGACACTGGGCACCACGAATGTGCGACTCGAGGACGTCGTGGTAACGGAACTTCCCAGCGGCATAGACCTGATTCTGGGATCAGACTGGCGACGAGTCGCGAACGTCGACGTAACGTTTCACACGTCAAACGATGTGATTATAGTTCCAGTCGAGCCCTGCGGAAAATTTTCATCGTCCGAAGTGCCACCCCTGAAACAAGGCACACCGCACCGGGGAAACGCTTATTGCGACGTTCTGCCGGCAATCGGACGAGAGTGTTTCCAAAGACGAAGGGTACGTGCGTCTCAACACGGAATGTCCCGCACCCGACGAAGACTTCACGAGTCTAGTCGAAGACGCCACACGGAAGATAACGAAGGATGCCACCGAGGCAGAAAGGGAGCAACTTCACGCAATTCTGTTAAGGCATCACCAAGCGTTCACTTCCAAAGGCAACACTTTGGGCCTGTGTCCTCACACCGAGCACAGCATCGAACTCAGAGACAATATACCAGTGTCATCGAGCCGTACAGGTGCTCACCGGCTGATCGCAAGTTCATCCGAGAACAGGTGAATGACTACCTCTCCATGGGCATCATAAGGCCGAGCAAAAGCGAGTACGGTGCTCCAACAATAGTCGTCGATCAACCGCACCACCCGACGACTCCACGAAGAATGGTACACGACTATCGCAAGCTCAACGAGAAAACCATCAACCCTTCTTATCCAATGCCCGTCATGGAAGACGTTATTGACGATATCATGCGCGACAAATCGGCTTACTTCACTGTGTTGGACGTGAAGACGGCATTTCTGACTATACGAATGAAGCTGGACGACGTACACAAGACCGCATTCGTCACTCCAGACGGAAAGTACGAATACCTTCGAATGGCCTTTGGGTTTTGCAAGGCCCCTCAGACGATGCAAAGATTCATGCGTCGCACATTCGATGGCTCACCTAGGACAGCTACGTACATGGACGATGTCGGGCAAGGAGCCACAACAGTGAAGGAGGCTTTGGATTTACTGACGGAAGCACTCAGGAGAGTCGTGATCAACGGCTTAAAGACGGATCTCCGGAAAAGCCAGTTGGTTCAAGACGAAGTATCTTTCCTGGGTTACGTGATCTTCGCCGAAGGACGAACACTGGACGAATCCAGAGTTGCCGCTGTCGAGAAGATCGAGCTGCATCGCAACGCAAAGAAGCTGTTCTCCTTCCTGCAGTTCGCTAACCACTACCGAAAGTTCATACTGGAGTTTGCAAAATTCACGCACAAGCTACGGCACCTTCTGGCGAAGGACGTTCCTTTCGTATGGACTGACGCTCATGAAGCAACCGTCAACGCCATAAAACACGCCTTGAAGAACCCGCCGATTTTGGCGAGCTTCCGCCCAGTCTGCCCGACTAACGTTCACGTCGACGCTTCGCAAACCGGGCTGGGTGCGGTGCTTTCTCAAAAGCAAGACAGAAAGGAGCGAATCATAGAGTACGCAAGCAGATCACTAAACGAGCACGATCGTGGTCTACACTCTAATATACTTGAGTGCATGGCGCTCCACTGGGCGATTACTGAGAAGTTTTCGGTCTACCTGAGAGGAGGCCCTCATTTTACAGTGTTCGCGGACAACTTCAGCTTGTCATACCTCGTCCAGAAGGGAGCCAGCAACCGCAGATTTGCGAGGTGGACGCTCGACTTAGCAGAGTACACCTTCGACGTCAAGCACAAGCCAGGACGCCAGAACTCTGCTGCTGACGCACTCTCGAGGCAGTCGGAATCTGCAGAGGCTTTCGACCAGGGCGTTTCGACCCGAGACCTCCACTGCTACGCAGTAGTGGTCGGCAAACACAGTCGCCTCCGCGAGTTTCAGGAGAGGGATACTGACTGCAAAAGATTTCGGGAGAAGGCCAAGCACAAATTTTCAGACTACGAGATCGAAAACGACATACTGGTGAAGAAATCTCTTGAGGGAGGACGGGTCCGTCGGAGGGTGATCATTCCCGCTGCCCTCCGAAGCAGTGTGATGATCGTTTTCCACGACAACAACGGCCACCTAGGCGTCGAGAAGACAAGAGACCTGATCCAGCGAAAGAACTGGTGGCCATCGATGAGAAAAGACATACGCGAGTATGTTGACTCCTGCCACACGTGCCAGACTATCAACGCCCGCACGACACGTAATGAAGGTTGCCTCATCCCACGCGATATTCCTACTGAGCCAAACGCAGTGATATCCCTGAATCACATGGGTCCGCTAAACGAGAAGGGAGACCACATCCTCGTGTGTATCGACCACGCCACGAGATACATAGACGCCGTGACCGTACCACGCACTTTGTCGGCGCACTACCTTGACTTCATGATAAACCGGTGGATTCCGTGATTTGGAGTTCCCAGCGTCATTATTACGGACCAAGACAAGGGATTCGTGAAAAAGAAAACCAACCAATTCTATTACAGACTAGGAATTACTCATCAGAACTCCTCACCGTACTGGCCACAATCAAACGGACTGATTGAGCGAATGGTAGGAACGTTGAAACAGGTGCTACGCAAAATGCTAAACAACAAGGACAAATGGCAGAAGGAACTACCCCGAGCAACGCTAGCAATCAACGCCACGAAGCATCGTCACAGTGTCCACAGCCCATTTCGACTCATGCACAGCTACGACCCAAAACTGCCAGGAGAGCTCAACCTCGCCTCAGTCGAGGGAGACAACGACGAGTCTCATAGACTACACGACTTGGCAAGGGAACGTGCGGAGACAAGAGAGAGGCTACTGCAGAGTCAGCGCAAAACAACGGTCCGATACGACAAGAAGCGGCGAAATCCGAGGTTCATAACGGGGAACCTCGTCCTGCTTGAGTTGAGCGCTCGAGGCACATTATACCCTCGCTATGAAGGTCCGTTCGAGATAACGGCCCTCATCGGAAGAAACAGGGCCGAGATTCAAAGAGTACCCCACACACCGGGCATGATCAACCAAAAAATCGTCAACGTGGAGCAGCTTCGTAGATATTAGGAGCCGCTCCTAGAAATTACGGAACCATCGCCATCTAACGACACGCACGCCTGAGGATAGGCGCAATTTTCGGGAGGGCCGTGTCAGGAGCACTCGAGTTCGCACAGCTGAATTCTCCGCCAGCGTCTCATCCTCCGGCAGCGCCTCCTTCTCCGGTAGCGTCTCCGTGCTTGCTCGGGAAGCGCTGCACTGCGTTAACGTGGACTCCGAGCCCTGAGCGCGTCCACTCGACGCGGTTGCCCATTGGTTCAACGAACATTCAAAAAACAAAAGTGAGCCTTCGAGCCGGGACCGCATAGCGACGCATCGTCAGAGAGAGGGGAACGAGCCGAGATTCGAGCCGGGACCGGAGAGCCAGCTGAGACGCGAGTGGCGTCGGACGTAGCCGATCGAGCTCCTGCACCGAGTCCAGTTTCCTTATACATGTAACCGCTGCCGATTTCACCTGTAACTTAGCACAATACAGTTTTTCTTAGAATTTGAACCTTGCCTTGACTACATTCATTCGGACATCGCTGACAGCCACCATCCTGTCACTTGGACCCCAGCCTTAACGCAAGTGTTCGAAGACTGCAAAACTGCCCTCTGCAGCGCTACGCTGCTCTCCCATACCAAGCCAGAGCCACCCCTGGGTCTTTTCCAGGATGCCTCTAGCACCACCGTCGGAGCCTCTCTCATACAGCGTGTGGGCAACAACTGGCGCCCCTTGGCGTTCTTCTCGAAGAAACTCTCCTCCCCGAAACCACCCCCGCCTTCCCGGCAGCATCGGCGATGCAACCTCGCCCCCTGTGGAGGCTACCTGATCAGCCTACTGCAGATAACTCATTGCCATCTACGAAGCAGTCAAACACTTTCGCCACATCCTTGAGGCACAGCACTGTACCATATACACAGACCATAAACCTATCACTTACGCCTTCTCCCAACGCCGCAAAAAACTTTCACCGGTCCAGCAGAACCAACTGTCCTTCATCGCTCAATTCACCACAGATATCCACCACATAAGCGGAAAGGAAAAAAAGGTCGCCGACGCATTCTCTCGAGTCTCGGCTGTTGAGCTACCAACCGCTACAACTGACGCCCTCGCCAAAACTAAGAAAATGGACACCGAACTCCAGCAGCTCCTCGAGAAGGGCCCTTCCCTTCAACTGCAAACGTTACCAGCCATGGGTCAACGGACGCTCTCTACAGTGACATATCAACAGGACGAATGAGCCCATACGTCCTTCTTTTGCATCGCCAAAGCCTCTTCAACCAGTTACACAACCTCAGTCGTCCTGGCATCCGAGCTTCTACATGCCTCGTGACTGACCGGTACGCGTGGCCCTCAATGCAACGGGACTGCCGCACCTGGGCACGCACATGCATTCAATGCCAGCGCGCCAAAATTGCCCGGCACGTCACGTCCCCACTCGGAGAATTTCCCCTCCCGACGGAATTATTCCAGCACGTCCACATTGACATCATATGCCACCTCCCACCAGGCGGCCCTTACCGCTATTGCCCCACTGCCATCGATCGTTACACTCGTTGGCCCGAAGATTGGCCGCTCGTAAGGATCACCGCAGAAGACATCGCATCAGCCTTCTTCTCCGGCTGGGTTTCCCGCTTCGGCACTCCTCGTCGAGTCACAACTGATCAAGGAAGGCAATTCAAGGAAGCCAGATCAAGGAAGCCAGACATTCAAACCACGCCCGCGGAATTCGTCTACAGGGAGCCGCTTCGCCTACCTGGAGCACTCCTCTCCGCTCCGACCTCTGATGTAACCAGCTCGGACCCTGCAGACTTCGTCGCTCGACTCCGTCGCACAATGGGCGCGCTGCGCCCCTCACCAGTGGCTCACCACACCAAGCCGACCCCGTTCGTGTTTAAGGACCTGGCAACATGCTCGCATGCCTTCCTCCGCGACGACACCGTACGCGCACCTTTCCAGCCGCCTTACTCCGGACCTTACAAAGTCATCTGTCACGACGACAAAACATTCACCCTGCAAATCAGTGGAAAGGATGTACGCGTTTCCATCGACCGCCTAAAGCCATCATAAATCCTTTCCCAGGAGCCTACCAACCCCCGCACGCCTCCCACAATTCGCCGACCAAAGCCCGCAACGCCTAGGCTCACACGCTGCACCAACCGCCTTGGACGGCAGGTGCGGGTCCCCAAACCTCTTCAACTCTGACGGCGAAACGGTTCGGCGCTGCTTCTGCGTTGCTTCTACGCCTAAGCGATAAGAACACTCTCGCCCGAAAGAAGCAGGAAAACTGTGTGTGTGCCCCGATGTAGGGGCAGTTGTAGCAGAACCTTCAGTGCGGAAACATTAAAGTCATGTTATCCCACGGACTTTTAATCAAACTTGGTTTTTTTCACTATCAGTGTCTGTTTCCTCCATACATAGTCGCGCTTCAATCACAGCTCCCATAACTACCCATACTGATGTCACAGGCAATCGCTTCAGAACCACTCTACGACCTATTTAAATCGACCTTGCAGTTTATTCGGCGTGGCAAAAACCACCGACGCACGCGCTCTTTGGTCTATCTTTTTTGTGTTTATTGGAAACACCATGTAGCAACAGTATCACGGTTACCCTCTCGGGACTTGCTCCTTGTGATATGCCCTCCGCGTTAACTACCCTCAGCTGTATGGGTAACTTCTCTGGAATACAAACTAGCAACGAACTGGGATAGCCAGCTGGCTCCAGACGAAAAATCTGCTTGCCGAAGCATTCCTGTATACTCATTGGAAGCAAGATTTGGTTAAATCATTATGCAAACATAAGTTTACTATACAAAGTTTTACCAGTTTGCTGTGAGAAGACGTGAACGGCAAAGGAGGTTTCTTCCCTCGTGGCTCGTATATCTCGAACAAACGTGGATCTCTGTAGCGGGTAGCGGCAGAATGAAGTTGATGAACGGGACGGCGAAAAAAATTGCCCGCAGCTTCCCTCGGGGGAACACTGAGGAGGATGCGGACCATATAATTGGTTAACGGGGTGTTAAAGTGCGACTTACTTGGGTCGATGGCTAAATTGGTTAACGTGGTTGTGAAATGGGGTGTTAAATTGCGACTTACTTGGGTCGATGGCTAAATTGGTTAACGTGGTTGTAGGAGGGGGTGTTAAATGAGTGAACACGTACACACGTATGCGAAAGGGCGGCGCTGGTCGAAGGGACGTCGATCATTGTGTTTGTGGATTCGTTGGAATTCATTTCACCGCGACCTTGGACGTCGACGCGCCGTACAAACCAACCGACGAGCGGCAACTGAGCGAGCGAGCGCCGACCTTGAGTATATATACAGCACGACGGCGCATGCACTGTCAGCTGTTGAATGTTCTCGAAGCGCCACGCCACATGCGCGTCCACTGGAGAATCAGGAGAATTGTAGATGTCGAACGCGGTGTGTAGAGGAGGAAGGGTGCACAGATGGTGGAGGAGTGAAGCGCGCGCGGTGTGTAGAGGAGGAAGGGATGCACAGATGGTGGAAGAGTGGGCGACGGCGCGACGGCGCATGCGCGCGCGTCAGCTGTCGAATGTTCGAGAAGCGGTGCGGACGGCGCGGACGGCGCGGACGGCGCACTACAAGGCGCGAGTATAAGATGCTCCGCAACTAAAAACGGCGTGAATGGCCCCTGACGGCGCTTACGCATTTAAGGTTCCCCCTTCTGCGCTATCTTCCGCTCGAGCTAAGCTACAGCGAATGATGGACCCAATGTTAACTAACCTGAAGTGGCATTTGCGTTTAGTGTCCTTACACCACGCTGTTGTTTTTTCTGTGGCTTTTAAGGAGAACATCGTGTTGCTTCAGGTTGTAGTTCAGGTCACTTGTACTGCGGGTCTATCTCTGAAGCCGCAAAAGTGTCGCTTCGAAAACGAGAACCTCAATTTCTTGGGCCATATTGTCAGCAGCAGAGGTGTTCGTCCTGACACCGAGAAAGTCATGGCTGTTCCTCTGTTCCCAATGCCGAAGACAAAGCATTTGTGCCGAACTTTAGGTCTTTGTGCGTATTACCACCGTTTTGTGCCATACTTTTCTCAAGCCGAAGAACCATTAAAACTACTGATCAAGAACAGCGTTGCATTTACCTCGAGCTCGGCACAATGGCCGCTTCCATGAGCTTCAGCAACGTCTTCAAAACCTACTGATCCTTGGTCACTTGACGCAGAAGCAGATATGGAAGTGCACACTGATGCTAGCAATCTTGGTCTCAGAGCCATACTCGTACAGTTTCAAGATAGCGTAAAGCGCGTTATTACTCATGCTAGCCGCATGTTGTCTTCTGCTGAGACGAACCTCAACAACCCAAAAGGAATGTCTGACAGTCGTATGGGCTATTACGACGTTCCGACCAAACTTGTAGGGACGGCCCTTCTGAATCGTCAGTGATCACTACTCTTTCAGCTGGCTGGTGAATCTCAAGGATCCTTAAGCTCGTCTCGCAAGATCAAGCCTTCGGCTCATAGAATATAATTAAACAATCCTGTGCCTGTCTGGCCAGAAACACGTCGACGCCCACTGTGTTTCACGTGCCCCGTTGAGACCACTCCAAACGACTCTGACAAAGACTGGTTTCTTTCTACTCTAGCATCTTCTAATGTGGCCTATCCGAAACACCAAGACCCAGAACTGCAACCACTTATGAGGCACCTTGACAGACGTCACCTACAACCTCCCTGTAAGTTGGCGCATGACTTGTCATCATTCTGTCTACGCGACAACGTCCTCTACAAGCGCAACTTTGATCCTACAAAAAACTACTCCCTTGCTAGTAGTTCCTGCTACAGCACTGCGTGGGCCCGGCCCAGCCCGAAGGCTGGGTCGGGTCGGGTAAGGAGTCGTTGGATCGGGCCTGGGGCGGGCTCGGGCTTGCGATCTTCAGGCCCGGGTCGGGCTCGGGCCTGAGTCAGGCCCGAATAAGTCCCGGGTTTTATACGTATCGGTGTAATGGCGTGGATATGTTGCTTTACTTAGTTTTGTGCGGCTTGACGTAGCGATGTGAGACATACCATTTGAAACGCTGCAAATGAGAACACTTTGAGTCCATTAGCCTGCATGGTGATTGCACAGTACAAGACTTCTATCATTTTGCTCCATCAAAGTGCTGCACGTAATTTTAAGAAACTCTTAACATGACTTTACACCGTTGAGTGAAAGATGCTCTTGAGTACCGTGTAAGGAAATGCATACCAGGTGGTATTGCTGCAGGTGTAACGATACATTGCATAGAGTGGCGTATATGTTATGTACGCGTATCTCAGGAAACATTCCGAGTATGCAGCTATGCTCTCACGACCACCGCTGCTGTGTCCAGCTGCGTGGCTCCGTAGACTCCTAGACAGGACTAGTGAGTCATTATTATATCAGGAGCTGATTTTTGTTACAAGCATGCTATAAACATTACATATCTACTCCTATTATACAGTTGTCACATCGGGTTAATGTCGATTGTACTTGGGCGCCACCACCAGAAGTTGATTTATACATCAGTGTTCGGGGCTACCATCCTCGTGAGCGCATCGCATCACATATCAGCTCATTATTCTGGCGTTGCCAATCTCCTTGTTACTGTCGGTATCCTTACACAGCCGTAAACAACTGTTTATATTAACCATAGGCACTGTTCAACAGAAATCTGGGTGTACGTCTTATGAACACATTTTTAACATTAGTTCGTAACGTCTCCCTAAAAAAATTACAACACAGCCACCTTCCATCCACCTGTATGTAGAATCTGCCTATCTTCTTTCTTTACATTTGACCTTTCATTCCACATCAAATTCGCCACTTCTCCTTTTTGTCACGCATCTAATTCTCCTCTACTGTCGCTGCCACTATCTTCAAGTCTGCAACCACTACCATGGGCCACAGACAGCCAGACTTTACTCCCCTGATCGCACCGAGGCTTTAGGTCATCAACCACCAGCTCTCCAGCTTCCAGTCCCTGCGGGTGATCACACTCCCGACACTCACCACCATGCGCAGTGCTGCGAGCGGAACGCCAAAGATACCGCTGCCACTTGACTTCGGTGCTCTAAGAGACAGTTATTTGGAAGGCTCTTAAAGTGGTCTTGCTTTAAAACACAACACTTTCAAAGATTGGAGGCGGTCGCATGAAGATGACGAGATAGGCATCATCGGGGAACATCCAGTACGGTGGCTCGCTTTCACAGATCACAGATGGCAAGGCGGTAGCAGTGATTCAGAGGAGAAGCGTGGGTTGAAAAACCTTCTTGTTTTCAGAAAGACAACAGTGTACGTTGGGGACTGTTGCTTCCCGAGAAGTCGACACGACCGCTTTTGTAACGCTACCCAGCCTGGTGGTTTGCTGCGAGAAGCAGCTTAAGCGCGTTTTGAATGCGGAGCATTTCTAGTCACACGATGTCACGTTTGCTCTGCGCTTGCTCGCGTCTCTTGCCGGCCCCGGAAGGCACCCGCTAAACTGTCGCTCCCCTCCCCTCTCTCACATCGCAAGGCCGATGCAGGCAGTGTGTGCTATCAAGACTCGCTCGCTGGATTTCTTGCCGACTGGTTGTGCCCACGCGATTTCCGACGACAGCGCAGCTCTGGCCGACCAGCTTGCCCTCCGCCATCTCATGACGCCGTGAAACTCTCGCTGAGTGGTGCCCCGTCCTCAGACTTCTGTGACCATGTCCATCTTTTCTATATTCTCCTTATTTCTTTATGCGGGTCTCTCTGTCCCTGCTCTATTCCCCTATCTTTTAACCCCTCCTTACCCCCATTCCTCGTGAGCCACTGTGGAGGTGAAGCACCATGATGCTGCTGCTGCTGATGATGATGATTCTGTTACTCTGACAACCACCCAAAAAGGGAGATCAGCCAAGAACCGGGCGGCAGGATCTTAACTAAAAGGCTTATGGTTTTTCGAACACAAAGTAATTTTGGACTGAAAAAAAATTATATAGAAAGAAAAGCCGAAAATCAAAAAAAGGAGTATAGCTGAGCAGGGATCGATGCAGGCTATCAGATGCGATTTGAGACAGAAGTAATGGTGGGTCTAAAAGAAATGATATATATATATATATA